GTGCCTGGGATGGAGACACCCACTATCTGTAACATTCACATTGTGTGCTCTTCCTTCTATTATTGTAGAGAGGAGGTGAGCGCTAATAAGGATGACACAATGGTTTGTTGTTTACGCCCTTACGATCAGCGTGTACTGCGCTTTCAAAGGTGAATGCGCTGAGATTTAGGTTTACAAAGTGGAGACCGTTGGCGATAGCTACATGACCGTTGGTGGGATTCCGGATCAGATCTCTGAACATGCTGAGATGATTTGCCACGTGGCCATAGGTCAGGACTTCTAATACTATTTGGATTTTTTTAGTTTAATTTTATTTTTGTTTTTTTAATTCACGATGAGGAGCTTCTAAGCACTGCTGCCACATGTTTGAATAATGCTTGATCTGTGGCTAGTCATGTTTCTTGAGACTAACCCTTTCATTCTGGACCCACATGAACCACCGCGCTCTTCTCATTTGCAGGTCCCTTTTTCTTATTGTTAGACTAGGGGCACGGGCGAAACGGAAAGCAGACCACTTCCTTATAGACCCCCTATATAATAATTAACAGCTAACTAAAAAGCTTATTCAAGGGCAATTCATGTTCCGCAAAGTGTTTCTCAAGCATTAAAATTCATCAATAAGGTTAACTGGTTCAGGAATGATGTGGGAAGCTCGATCAGTGCCGGAACCAGTGAATAAAAAACCTCTTCAAGTTCGAATCGGAATCCATTCAGGACCTCTTATAGCCGGTGTGGTGGCCGTAAAGATGCCCAGGTACTTAAATGTCCGAGCCTTCTTATATGGATAAGCTAGGTAATTAAGTTTAGGTATTGCCTGTTTGGTGACACCGTCAGCACAGCGTCATTGATGGAAACGAATGGCCTGCCCGGAAAGATCCACTGTAGCGATAAGGTATACTCGAGATCCCTGAGATCGGGTAGGCGTGGCCGCATGTTTCAACTTACCCTTAAGGCTTCTACGCTTCTGATGCCATATTTTCATCTCGACACAATTGTTGTCGTGTCTCTGTCCAACGCAGAACAAGATGACAGTTGTCCCAGACTGGAATATTCCACTAGTAACCAGTTCCGTACAGTGTTCGAATGCCCCGCCTACCCGATCTCAGGGATTTCGAGTATAAACTATATCCAACACATTAGACACAAACTGTACGGGTCAGGAGGTCCGAGTTGCGACTCCACGTTGCTGCAAGAGGCAAGAGGTGTTGCGTACGTGGCATTCGCACCAGGTCTCAGTTGCTTCGAGTATTACGACAGGATGAGTCATCCTGCTAAGAAGGTAATAGCGCGCAACGCCGTGCATATCGCCGCGACTCGGATTTCCTGACTCACCTGCGGAGACATGAAGAACAGCTTCATCTACGTGGGGTATCTCTAGTGGGAATCACTGGCTTACCTGCATTCTCCCTGACTTGTTTTCAGACATTCAAAATTGCAAATTCTACTGGACGTTTCGAGTTTGATTGCCGGGGAAGCGTATACATCAAGGGGAAGGTTTGATTTTTGTCTAAAATGTGGTGCGGTCGCCAATCGGCAACTGTTGAATTTAGGGAGAGATGGTCACTCACTTTCTGCGGAAGAGCACCAAGAAGAGCATATGG